TCCGGGACACGAACCGCGGTCGACTACGTGGGAGTCCAGCGACATAGCCATTACGCTAACTGCTGGTTCCCTTGTTTTGTTTTTTTTTTGAGATAGTGTCTCCCCTTGTCACATCCACTACAAGCACATGCCACCTCACCCATTCATTTTTAGACAGGGTCTTAGGGTCTTTCTGTGTTTGCCAGGCAAACCTTGAACTTTCAGTCCTCCTGCCTCAGCCTCCTTGGTTTCTGGGATTATAGGTTCATGTCACCCACCTGGCCCTTAGGTTGAACTGGAGCTTGAATTTGGGCCTCACGTGTGGTCCCAACTTGTAGCGCAGTGTCAGCTGTGTATATCCTGCAGCAGACCAAAACTGAATTTAGTATCCTCCATGTAAAATTCGCATGTGATGTATTCTGATTAATAAAGTATTACATGAATCAGATATTCATTTAAAGAGAGGAAATAGTAATGAGGAATGATTCTCGGAATAATATAGTTAAGTTTAAATAATGCGTATTTGTTTTTTATTGTTACTTAGCAAATTACCACAAATTTAGTGCTTAGACAACACGTCCTTCTTTTTTAAAAAGAATTATTGTATTTAATTGTTTTATTATTATTATTTTTAATTTGACCAGAGAGAGACTGGGGGAGGGGTAGAGTGAGGGAAAAAAATGCCAGGTTCGAGAATTGAACAGCGGTCTACCATGTAGGAATCTAGCACCTTAAGTGCCATGCCACCTGCTGGCCTGGCAGCACATATTTCTTATCTCAAGGTTTCCCTGGGTAATGACTTAGGTAGATCCTCTGCTAAAGGGTGTCACAGTCTATATTTGGAGTATTAGCCTGGACTGCCATCTCAGCTGAAGCTCCTCTTCTGAGCTCATGCTGTTGTCAGAATTCAATCCCTTGACACTGTAGGATCCAGTTAACTGTTTTATTGCTAGCTGCCAATTTTGCGATGTGCTCAGTTTCTAGTGGCTGCCCACAGTTTCTGGCCCTTTACATACGTATCTTCTTACTTCAGAGTCAGCAAGGAAGAATCTTTGCTTCTGCTAGATAGTGTCTTCGATGTATACTATATATTGTCACATATATATAAAACCATAGTATTGTCAGCTGAGTAGCACCCTGTCACTGTTAATATCGATTAGAAGAAAGTCACAGGTCCCACCTATACTTTAAGAGGGGATTATGCAAGAGAGCCACTTATTGCTGATTGCCTTAGAGATTGTCTAGCACATAATACTAATGTGGTTGGAGATTATAAGTAAGGGTTTTTTTTCAGATTTTTACCATGTGGCATGTGGACTCACAGGAGAGAGACAGATAGTGACAGAAAGAGATGAGTGAGAAATCACCTCCCAGGAGATGGCCATACCACAATCTCTTCTCCTCCAGTCTTCTCTTGGAATTTTAGGCACGTATGCACACACACCCTGGCATACTTTTCAAGCCACTGAGTCTGAGGCTTGGACCGTGGTCGGCCATGTGAAAATCCAGTGCCTTAACCATCACACTACCTTCTAACTCAGAATTTTCTTCATTTTAAAGGTTGAATAATATTTCATTGTATGTATGTACCATATTTTCTTTGTATGTGTGTATGTGCATAAACTATGCTGCATCAAATAACTAGCAACTAAAATATATAAAGGAAAAATGCATACAAAAATCAAGGTGATTATTTAAATAATATAATTAGAATAAGAGATTGTATTAAACCACTCTGAATTAGACAGCTCTAGCAAACAAATAAGAACATAGGACTTTGATAATATAGCCAACAAATCAATTTAATATACCAATTTTGCATTTTTTTAAGATGAGTTTCATTTCTCACATCGTTGGCCCAGTATTATCAGATTTCTTTTTTTTTTTTTTTTTTTAGAGGTTTTTGCTATAGGGCGTATGCGCTCGCCAGACAGAGAGAGAGACAGACAGAGAGATAGAAAGTGAGAAATCAACCCCCAGGGGGGATGGCCACACCGCAATCCCCTCTCCTCCATTCCCCTCTCGGGATTCCAGGCACGCATGCACACACACCTGCATGAGTCCAAGCCACCGGGTCCAGGACGCGAACCGTGGTCGACCACGTGGGAGTCCAGCGACATAGTCACTACGCCAACTGCTGGTCCCAGTATTATCAGATTTCTTTTTTTTTTTGCCATCTGATATCTCATGTTTTCATTGGCGTTTCTTTAATTATTAGCACAACTATATCTTAAATTTTCATTTTTCTAGGTTTTTTTTTTTTTTTGCTAGAAACATTCATGTCCTAAAAGGTAGCAAGGGAACCAGCAGTTAGCGTAATGGCTATGTCACTGGACTCCCACGTAGTTGACTATGGTTCATGTCACGGACCCGGTGACTTAAAACTCATGCCGGGCGTGTGTGCGTGCGTGCCCAAGATCCTGAGAGGAGAAGGGAGGAGAAGGGATTGTGGCGTGACCATCCCCCGTGGGGGGTGATTTCTCGATTTCTGTCTCTATGTCTCTCTCTGTCTGTCTGGCGAGTGCACGCGCCCTATAGTGAAAAACCTCTCAAAAAAAAAAAAAAGGTAGCATGAATTTTTCCACTGTGAAATAAATATTATCCCATCTGAACATTTTATGTGTACATTTTTGTCTGACATCTTTTTGCAGTATTGCCCTCCAATACACCAAATGTCCGCAGAACTAAGAGAACACGTTTGAAACCTTTGGAATATTGGCGGGGAGAGCGGATAGATTACCATGGAAGGCCATCAGGTAAAACCACATTTACTCTCTAATATCTGTTAGTAAATAAGGTAAATAAGTAGTATGGATTGCTGCAGCTTACTTGTGTTTACTCTGTGTCAGGCATGTACATACATGTACATAGATTATCTCATTAAGTCATTCTCCCTGGCCCTCAAATGTGATAAGAACAGAAATCAAATCCAGATGTCTCTGATTACTCTAGAGATGCTGGGTTTTTTCTGCCATTGTAGCTATTTGTGTGGCTTTATATAGAGTATTGTTATTTTTATATTATCTGAAACATTTTCTGATTGCATCACATAAGGCATTGGATTAGAATATTAGAAAATTTTCACTGGTAAAGGTAAAATATCCATTTTTAATCTTTATTGTGGTAAAGTATTTTTCATTACTTTCATTGAACATTTTCTCATTATATTTTCTACAAGAGGGTGGAGAGTGGGAAAAAAGCATAGTGTTATTTTTAAATTATTTTCTTTCTTTGATAGATATGTCTAAATCAAAGGACTAACATAGATTACAATAAATTGCATAGTAATGTATTCATTGGCACTTTGAAGGGAAATGTGTTATATTTGTTTAGAGTTTTTGTTCCAAACTTTTCACTTTGTCAGGTATGATATCTTACCTTTTTGTTGTTAAATTTTAGGAGGATTTGTGATTGGTGGAATACTATCCCCAGACACAGTATCATCTAAAAGGAAGGCAAAAGGAAACATGGGAAAAGTCAACAAAATAGATAACAGGAAAAGGATCTGTCCTGATAATGATGAAAGAAGTATGAACTTATTTCTGGGAGTAACTTTTAGACTTTATTTTAAATAACATAGTGCTTTTGAGAAGACAATCATTATAAAATTTGAAATTTACCCCTAAAAACCAGACATAATATAATAGGTAAAAATTCACATTTTTAATGTCCGTTCCCCACCCTCCCCATTTTGAAAGTAAGCTAATTTTATTGTATAAAAACAGCTATTAATAGCATAATATAAAATATTTATTTCCTCATGAGTAAATTGCTCAGTCAAAAGAAGCTTACCTATTCTATGCTGTAACAGCAATCTTTTTTTCTATGGTCAGGGTGTATGCAGTCCACCAGAGAGATAGGGAGAGAGAAAATGAGAAATCAACCCATAGTAGGAATGGCTGTGCTGTAGTCCTTTCTCCATTCATTCTCCTCTAGGGATTTGGGTATGCATGCACATGCACCTGGTGTGATTTTCAAGCTGCTGGGTAGAGGACACAAACAATAGTCAGACATGTAGGAGTGCAGCACTTTAGCCACCATGCCACCTGCTGGCCCCTATAATAGACATTCCGATGGATTCTTTCTAAAGTGTATTACATCTTTCTTTTTTTTTTTTTAACATTCTTGCCATAGGACACGTGTGTTCTGACAGAGACAGAGCGAGGGAAAGTGAGAAATCACCTCCTGGGGGAATGACCATCCTGCAATTCCTTCTCTATCCTCATCATGGAATTTTAGGCACACATCTACATTCACTTTTCATGAGTTTTAAGCCACTGGGTCTGGGACTTGAACTGTAGTCAGTCATGTGAGAGTCCAGTGCCTTAAACACCAGACCACCTGCTGGTGGTCCCTGTATTACATATTTCTAGCTCTCCTAGAGAGTAAGAAAAACATCATTTAACTTGATGCAAGAGATCAAGAGTTGACATGTTATAATAGACTTACAAAAAAATAGAAAGTTTAGGATGTTGACTTCAATATTAAATCATTGCTTTATTTTTAATTTAAAAATAATAATACTTATTCACCTATTTGTCCTTAAGAAAGAGAGAAAAAGAGACAGATGGACAAAAAGACAGACACTCTCACCAGAGTTCCCATGATATGATTTATCTCCAGTCTCAGCTGATCTGAACCACAGGCATGTAATCAGGGAGGCCACTGGATGTGAACCCACAATCCTTCCTACATAGGTCCAGCTGCATCACCACCACCACATTCCCACCTGGCCCTCATTGTGGGTATTTTTTTTTCTTTCTTTCTTTCAGGTTTTTATCATAGGGTACAGACACTTGCCACAGAGTGACAGAGAGAGGGAAAGTGAAAAAAAAAAAATCACCTCCAAGGGTGGATGGGCATGCCTCCCTTTTCTATTCTTTTAGGATTTGGGGCAAACATACCTGCACCCAGCTTTCATACCACTGGGTCTGGAACTTGAACCACAGACTGCCATGTGAAAATCCAGCTCTTTAACCAGCATGCCACTTGCTGGCCCCATTGTGGGCTTTTAAATTTGAATTTTTGTTTATCTGAGTGACTATAGCAGGAAGAGGCTGTTATGCCACTGAAAGTTTTCTTCCATAAGTTGTCCATAGCTGTATTTTTTACTGGACTTTTTTTATCATTGAAAAGAATTTTAAGGAAGTTGTTTGTATTTCAATGGTGTTTCTTTTGCAGAGAATAAATTAATGGTAACTCTGAATGTACCTCTAGGAGATCCTTTGCAGCCAACGAGGGTAAAGGATCCAGAAACAAGGGAGATTACCCTCAAGGGTAAGACCTGGGATGATACTGAAAATACTTTAACAACTAGTAAGAACAGACTGCTGGCTCGATCATTGACCTATCAACTTTCCCTTTCTCTCCCCAGCTCTTTCAATGCTGAAGTCCTATAGAGGGTCTAATTCCATTAAGCAGCCTATGTAAGGACAACTTTGGGGGAGAAGTGATGACAGGCAACTTCTAGGGGACATATAGCACCATGTGTTTGTCCTCTGGGCTACAAGTGCTACCATCAGGAATATTGCCTCCTCCAGCAGGATCTAGGCTGCCTTTGACCAGGAGGGCACATGGGGACAGAGACTCTTTATAGGGAATTGTGGCAAGTTAACTGGCAGACCACAGGATATACTCTTACTGTGGGGCCAGGTACTAATGCTGGGCAGGCACAGACAGCCTTTTGTGCCATGGATGCTAATAAGGGTACCTGGACATGAAACTTTTGTGAAGATGACAAACAAGGGCATCAAATCAGCCACACAAATAGTAGCTTTAACCTCAGGTAGGCATAAGGTCCTAGATGATTCCTGCCATATTAGGCAGGCATTTCTCTCTTTCCTTTTTTAAAAGAATTATTTATTTATTTAATTCAATTTGTTATTATTATTTTTTAATTTGACCAGAGAGAGGCATACACAGAGAGAAAGGAAATGTAAGACAGCTAGCCTCTAGGTTCAGGGCTTGAACCATGTTTAGCCATGTGGGAGTCCAGCACCGTAACCATCATGCCACCTGCTAGCCCTAGACAGGCATTAAACATTTAGTCTCTGGGAGACTATGGGAGGTCCCAAGGGATAACCTACAGGGGCTCTTTAGAAAATACTCAACTATTTACCAACCCAGTAATATTTGCATATAGGAAATATTTTACTATTTTAATAACTGTTAAGACTCTACCAGTTTGTACTGAGAACTTTTTATCCTAAGTCAGAGGATAAGTAGTTCAAACCAGAAAGGTGGTAATGATATTCCATTTTAAAATTTTGGCTATGAAATAGGTTCCATTTTACATCTTAAGTTATATATCAGAAACGTTATTTCTATATTCTGATTGATTATTTGGCAACAGAGGTGGGAATACAGAGTTTTGTTTAGTTTTAACTAAACACATTGCTGTACTCTACTAGATTAGAAAAGGTACGGTGTTAGGAGTTCACTTTTTGTATGCTCCTTTTTTGAATCTGTGTATTTTCTATACCTTGTAGTCTGTGGGATCACTAATATTCTTACCTAAGAATTTCTATTTTTATTCTGTTCTCTATTTAGAGAAATAGAGTCTGAAACTGATGATAGAAGGATATATTAACTATAGGTTGGTAAGGTTTGTTAAGTAAAAGAAATTTTTGAAAGTGAGATGGTAATTTGTCATCAGTAGTTAAAACTATAGTTTTTCATAGCCTTCATAGCCTTTACCTGATGGTATACTTTCCAAGACCTCCAAGATGCTTTATATCAAGGATAGTACTAAACCCTTTATATACTATTTTTTCTTATACAAAACTGTGATAATGTTTAACTTACAAATTTGTCACAGTAAGAGATTAACAATAGCTAATAAATTAGAACAATTATAACAAGATACTGAAAAAAAATTAATATGAATGCAGTTTCTCTGTTCCCCAAAATACTTCATTGTCCTAGACTCACCGCTTTTTAGACTGCGGTTGTCCACGGGTAACTGAAACCATGGATAAGGGAAACTACTCTGTTGACACTGGTGATGATACATTTGCATTGTGAACTATGTTAAACTTTTTAAAGATAAGAAAATCTTATGTTTCAGCAAATTTTATTTTTTATCTCAGGCACAGTAGAGCTAATAACACTGTCATTATTACTAAGATTAACACAGTGCTTGCTTTTTGCCAAACAAGATTTTAAACAGTTCATCTGTTGATAATATATCAACAGATGAACTGTTAATACATTTTTCAGAAAAGAAAATTGTCCAAAGTCAGAGAGCTTAAGAAATCTTCCCAAGGTCATACAGCTTATAAAAGAGAGGTGGGATTTGACCTCTGACATTTTAGCCCCAGAGTCAGTGAATCTTAATCAGTTCTGTCTCCCTAAGGCAGGTTATATCTAGAAATAACTATTATATATGTGTATATGTTGTATCATTGAATAATGTCATCACTATTGCTTTATGTTTGCATTACTATTTTCCTCCTAGATCTTATAAGGCCACGAGATACATACCAGTTTTTTGTTGATCATGATAAGTTGAAAGTATATAAAACACTGGATACACCCCTTTTTTCAACTGGGAAATTGGTATTAGGACCACATCAAGAAAAGGGTAAACAGCATGTTGGCCTAGATACATTGGTGAGTATATGTCTCCATGTATACTTAAGTTTTGATGAAGATAGAACTCTGATTTATTGGATTTGATGAAACATTAAACTGCTGTTTCCTCAGAAATGACTTTTTTTCCAAGAATTATTTTATTTAACTTATTTATTTATGTATTTTTAAAATTTGACCAGAGAGGAACAGAGAGAAAGAGAGAGTGAGAAAGCAAGCCATCAGGTCCTGGATTTGAACCACAGTTGGCCATGTGGAAGTCCAGCACCCTAAACCACTATGCCACCTGCTGGACCCCAGAAATGACTTTCTATTACTATACTTCGCACAGAAAATTTTTTTATTTTTAAAATTAATTTAGAGTCAATCAGGTAGTGATTATTTAAAAGTGCCTACTGTGTATAGCACTTCATCCTCAAGGTGCAGAAGTGTAAGGAATGGTCTTTATTTAAAAGAATCTTAGAGGGACCAGCAGATGGCATAATGGTTATGGTGCTAGACTCCCACATGGGCTAGTTTGAGTTCTGGAACTAGCAGCTTAAAACTCCCCCTGGGGGGGAAAAAAAAAAAAAAAAACTCACCTTGGGCACGTGTGTGTGTGTGTGCATGCGTGTGTGTGCGCGTGCCAGAACTCATGAGAGGAGAATGGAGGAAAAGAGATTATGGCTGGCCATCCCTCCTGGGGATGGGGGGTTGCTTTTTGCTTTCTGTCTCTCTGGCAAGCACATGTGCCCTATATCAAAAATCTCCCTCAAGAAATAGAAAGAATCTTAGAATATAAGAATACTTAGAATATATATAGGATTCTAGTCAAATTGTTAGGATTTTAGAACTGGAGGGGATTGTGGAAATTAAGTTTACTTTTTCACAGTTCTATAATGCAGTTGAAAAATAGATTAAAAGACTTCTTTGAAAATCACTTAACTACTTAGCAGTAAACTCAGGACCAGAGCTTGTTGCTTAAGTACTAAGTAATTTATGAGTGCATCAGAAAGTTCATGGAAGATGGAATTATTATATGAGCTTATTTTGGTGAAAGGTACTTTGAAATCCATGCATTGATTTTTTTCATAGTGTACATTTTTCGTGAAGATGTTTTTTTAAGTTTTTTTTTTTTTTTTTTTTTTTTTAATGTCACAGGGCATGTGTACTTGCTGTAAATAGAGGGAAAGTGAGGAATCACCCCCCTCCTGGGGGTATGGCCATGCAGCAGTTCCTCCTCCATTCTCTTCTCAGGGTTTTTGGCTCACACATGCCCAGCATAATTTTCAAGCTGACAGGTCTGAGACTTGAACTGCAGTCTACCATGTGTGAGTCCAGAACCTTAACCACCACAACAGATGCTGGCTCCTTCATGAGTAGTTTGAAGGCCCTGTTTGTAAGCTATTAATATTACATATTGAAATACATAATTTTATCTACCTCCCTCATTGTTCCAACCCCAGTAGAGACATATACCTTTGCAGTGTTCCACTTTTTATGTTTATACACACGCACATATAGTCATCTACTGCATAGTGGTATTTAATGTCAGTGATGATCCACATACACGATGGTGGTCCCAACAAAAGATTATAACAACATCATATAGCCGAGGTGTATAGTAGACTATGCATCTAGGTTTGTGTAGTTACACTGATCCTCACACAATGACAGATTTGCCTAGTAGACATATTTCTCAGAATGTAACCCTGTGATGCATGATTGTATATAAATTTGTATTCTGAATTTGAGAATTATAGAATTTCAGTAGCACCAAATTTTAAGAATATTTAATATTAAATCAGCATTTTCAAAATATGAGTAAGGGACTTTTTTAGTATATAACATTTCAGTAATCTATGAAATCATGAGTTACTAAAGTATCATTTTCACAGTGGTTCTTTTTTACTAACAGAGTTAAAGCCCGAAAAGGAGGGGAAAAAGCTATCAAGACCCGTGAGGTTTTATTAACAGTGAACAGCAAGTTGAGGCAAGGGAAGGAAAAAGTACATATGAGAGTCAAAGGTTAATTTATTACTACATCAGTGTAACTAGAATTTTGATTTAAAAAAAACTTATCAGTCTAATCTTGAAATTGATTTTATTAAGAGTGAAAATAACATTGGAAGCAGTAGATGGTCTCTGTGTAGTGTTAAAGGAACAATTAATAGTGAATATAAACATAGAATGTCATTACTGTACAAATAATACTTATGCATGCTCAAAATCCCAAGAGGAGAGCGAAGGAGAAAAGATTGTAGCGTGGCTATTCCCCCTGGGGTGTGATTTCTTACTTTCTGTCTCTCTGTTTCTCTCTATCTCTCTGGTGAGCACATATACACTATTAAAACCCTCTCTACCAAAAAAAAAAAAAGTTAACTTTTTTTCTTTTAAGAATTATTTAGCCTGCCTTCCTTCTTTCCTTCTTTTCTATTTAACTAGAGAGGGAAAGTGAGAAAGCAAGGGAGATTCTAGCGACCTTAACCACCATGCCACCTGCCGGCCCCAACAGTTAATGTTTTAAAGTGTTTAACCTGGCTAATAGTCAAAGGAATACACATTTAAAAGCAAATGACACTTTATAATTTCTGAGTAAAAATATTCATACCCTGTGACCTGTGAATCTCAATTCTGGAAAATTTTCCTAGGGAAATCAGTTAAAGGAGGGAAACTGAACATATGTAGTTATTTATTATAACATTAACTGTAATTGTAAAAATTAGTAACCACTGGAATTTGCTTAAGGAAAAAAATGGTTATAGTTTTGACTTGGTAATAGAATAAATCATTATATGATATAGTAAGCAGTAACACAAGCCACTAATATGTTCCAGGTGCTGGACTAAGCATTTTAAAATTAGTTTTAAGTATATTATTTTGAAGAATAGCTGTATACAAAGACCTTGGGATAAACATTTAAGCAAATGTGCAAGACAGAAAAAAGTGTCTATTTTTCTGACGAGAATTTTAAAATGTAAATGACAAAAACTTGAAAATACAGAAAAATAACATGTTACTGTTTGATTACAGTTGATTTTTATTTCTTAATATTTCTTTAACTTTTTTGCCGTTGTTAAAGTTCATTCATTTAATCTTAAATGAAAGAGCAAGAGAGAAATAGGTACCTCAACAGGGTGTTCATGCTGTGATCTGTCCCTGACCTCATCCAGCATGGATCATGGGCCTGCACAGGTACTCCCAGTGTACTCAGGAAGGTACAAAACCTAGAACCTTTCTCATGTGAGGCCAGTTGCTTCACAACCACTGCCCCCTACCTTAACTTTTTATAATTAAAAATTAGAGTTTTAAAAATTTTTTTAAGAGGAGTATTTTTTCTGTTAAGACATGAAGCATATTGATATGCTCTTGAATAAAAAGGGAAACAAGTTGGAGAAATAGTATAGGCCATTAACTTTTTCCTTCTTACACAGTGTGAGAGAATCAGTCTGGACAATTTGAGAAGGAGTCATAATAGGAGGTTTGTTAAAATCACACCACAGAAGAATTGAATTAGATATGAAAGCTGGTTGTTGAATTCTTCCAAAAGACAAAAAAAAAGAGAGATTAAAAAGCAGAAAATGTAAAAGTTGATATGGAGAACAAAGAAAAATTTGCCAACTAATAATTTTAGGAGGAGAGAGAAAAACCCAGTGGACAAAAGTTGGAAATATTGGGGCAAGTAGGTGATATGGAAGTTACAGCGCTGGACTCTTTGGCTCACTGCAGTTTGAGTCCTAGACCTTGAGTCCTAGACCCAGCGACTTGAAATTCACTTTAGGCGTGTGTGTGTGTGTGTGTGTGTGTGTGTGTGCCCAAAATCCCAAGAGGAGAATGAGGAGAGGGGATTACAGTGCCCCCCCCACCACCACCAGGGGTGTTGATTTATCATTTTCTCTCTCTCTCTGTCTCTCTGTGTGTCTGGTGAGTGAACGCGCCCTACCCACCCCACCCCACCCCCCCATTGCAAAAATCTCTCTTAAGAAGAGGGAAAAAGTTGGAAGTATGTTTTTAATTTCATAGTAAATGCTTTAGAACTAAAAAGACTAAAGTGATAGGAAGCTTCTTCGAATAACTAGAGGTCCTTGGAGAAATGTCTGATTCCAGATTTGTGTCTGAGCTTGGAATATTTTTATAGTCCTCATTAGTGAACTATGAAAGACCATTATGATTGGGTTATAAGATCTCAGGATCCAACTTGAAGCTGCTCACACAGGCCAAAGATGTGAAAATTTGAATACCAACAAGGATAACTTTAGTGGATGGATATATGTATCAATTATATCTAAGTATATGATAAGACTACAATGAAAAGAAAACTAATTCGTCACTATTGAAGGATTCTAGGAAGCCTCATTTTGACAACTGGGAAGGGAAAAGAAAAGAATCAAACATTTATTCTGGCTTTCCCATATGAACCCTACTATTAGGTGATCAATGTAGTAGATGAGAAGTTTGTTCTTGTTAAAAATATTTCAGCTAGTGAAGAAAACATTTTAGAATTGAAGTATTACCATTTGCAGCCCTGATAAGCTATTTTATTTAGGTAGTGAGCATCAAAGGCTGCTAACATCTAAAAAGAACACAATCAGAAATAAACCTCCTGAAGAAAAAATATGACACAATAAATGAGTCTTGCCTTTGCAACTTCCTAACACACACATACACACACACACATACAGAAAAAAAAAATGCCCTGAATCTAATGAAGTTTCTAGATCAAATTACCAGTTTATAGGAAAAGGATGACAGCTTTTTAAATGACACCTGGGATATAATCAGCAAAACCCAGCTGGGTGAAGATTTTTATAATAAACTGCTAATAAATAAGCTGTAAGAAATAAAAAATAAGGAACCAGGAAGAACATGTAGATCAAAATTTTTCAACCACAACCCTATTGATATTTTAGACTCTAAAAGTCTTGTTATATAGAGTGACTGTCCTGTTTATTGTATTGTAGAATGCTTAGTTTTTCCAGCCTCTCCCTTCTAGATTCCAGGTATCACCATTCTAGTTGTGACAATTAAGCGTGTCTCTAGAAATTGCTAATTGTCCACTGAAGGGAAAAATCACCCCCCAATTGAGAACCACCACTGTTGATTGAGAGATTTAAGAAACAGATCAACTGGGCCAGCAAGATGCATAGTGGTTAAGGCCCTGAATTTCCACTTAGCTGAACATGGTTTGAGTCTCGGACTTGTTGGCTTGAAGCTCACGCTGGGTGCATGTTTACACATGCTTAAAATCCCAGGAGGAGAATGGAGATTAAGGCATGGCTATCCCTGCTGGGATATCATTTTCACTTTCCTTCTCACTGTCTGTCTCTAGTGTGTGCATGTGCCCTATGGCAAAAACCTTAAAGAAAAGAAACAGATCAGCCAATCCATGCGAGCTCTTACTTAGATCCTGATTCAGACAAACCTTTAAAAATACGATATTTAAGAGACAATCGAAAATTTAAGTATTGAATGGGTACTTCATATTAAATACTCATTTATATTTAGGTGGGAAAACAGTATTTTATTTTTTTTAAAGATTTTTGTCATAGGGCATATGTGCTCACTGGAGAGAGAGAGAGATCTGTCTCTCTATCTTTCTGGAGAGCGCACACGCCCTATAGCAAAAACCTCTCAAAAAAAGAAAAGTTTTTTATTTTAAGTTATAAAAATACCTTTAGAATATTTCAGGAACTTTTTTCCATTTAGGTAAGTGGTATGTCCTAGGGGCTAGTGTATGAATTCTGGAATCAAAGTGCCTAAATTTAAATCCCAGCTCGTCCATTTATGTTTTTACCTTGGAAGGTTACCTGTTGGTTCCTCAGCTACTTCATCTGTGAAAAACTCGTAAAATAGTATCTGCCTCATTAGTAGGCACATAGAAGGGAAGAAGTTTGTGGGAAAATGAAATTAAAGTAAGAGTTTATTTTGATGGAAAAAATTAAAAATCCATTAGTTGATTTTCCTTAAAATCCATTTCTAGTAAACTTTTTGAAGATCCCTCGTACATTAAATGATAAAGTGCCCAGAATGGTGCCTTGTACAGAGCAAACTATTAGTACTTTGGTGTTTTAGGGTCATTGTACAAAGTAGTTAAAAAAAAAAAAAGGATTTGATTATCTAGGACAAAATGTTCTTTATGGTGTCTTAGTTTGGGCTGTTGTAATAAGGACCATAGATTTAGTGGATTAAAGAACAAACATTTGGGACCAGCAGGTGGTGTAATGGTTAAGTCTTTGGACTCCTACATGACTGACAGAGTGGTTTGAGTCCTGGACCTAGCACCTTGAAATTTATGCCAGGTGTCTGTACTTGGATACCCAAAATTCTGAGAGGAGAATGGAGAAGAAGGGATTATAGTGTGGCCATCACCCCTGGGGTGTGATTTCTTGCTTTCTTACTCTCCAGGGAGCACATGCATTCTATACCAAAAATCTCTCTTAAGAAAAAGAACAAATAGGGACCAGCAGTTAGCGTAATGGCTATGTCGCTGGACTCCCACGTGGTCGACCGTGGTTCGAGTCCTGGACCTGGTGGCTTAAACTCACGCCGGGCGCATGTGTGTGCGTGCCCAAGATCCCAAGAGGAGAACGGAGGAGAAGGGATTGCGGCGTGGCCATCCCCCCTGGGGGGTGATTTCTCACTTTCTGTCTCTCTGTCTCTCTCTGTCTGTCTAGCGAGCGCACACGCCCTATAGCAAAAACCTCTCCAAAAAAAGAAAAAGAAAAAGAACAAACATTTCTCAGAGTTTTGAAAGCTGGAAGGTCAAAGATTAGTGAAGTAAAAGATCTGGTGTCCAGATCTTTAAATAAATTATTAACTTTAAAAATATATCATTTAACTATACTAAAAAATGCCCAGTTATAAGTATTCATGTTTAAAGGTTACATGTTTGGTACATCATACTACTCAATCTGACTGATGAATCAGACAGACGAAAAGCCAAATCCCCCCAGTAAGGGTCTATTTCCTATTTTGCTAATGATTGTCTTTTTATATCCTACATAGTGAAATGGCAAGGGGGAAGGGGGAGAAAGAGAATGAACTCTCTTGTCTCCTCTTAAAAAGGTACCGATATATTTATGAAGGCTTTATGCTCATGAACTAATTACTTCCCAAATGACTCATTTCCTAATATCATCATTTTGGGGGTTAGATTTCAAACTGGGAATATTAGGGGAGGACCCAAACATTCAATCCGTAACAGTGGCTAAGTCATAAGAGCTCCTACACTTTTTTTTGGGGGGGTGGGGGGGTGGCGGGGTCAGAGCGTGTGTGTTCTCACCAGAGAGACACTGAAAAGAAGAGGGAGGAAGCATCCCTCATGGGGAATAGGCACACTGCAGTCCCTTCTCCAGTTCTCCCTCCTCTTACAAAAGAGTAACATGCTCAGCATGTTTTCTAAGTATCTAATCTAGGACTCAAGCCATACAATTAGTCATGTGAGATCTAGCAACTTAACTACCAGGCCACAGGTTGGCTCAAGGCTAACACTTTTTTATCTTAGTTGCTCAAAAACTACCCTTGCCAGTGTGCTTATGTATAAAGTGTGAAGTCTGCCTTGTTTGAATATGAAAGCCAGTCTAACTCAGGGTTAGATTTATCCTTTTACTTTCTTAATCTCAATGCTTGCCTAAATGTATGATTTGGAGAAGTAGGAGGATTTGGCTTTTTGTCTGTCTGATTCATCAGTCAGATTGAGTAGTGTGGTGTCCCAAACATGTAACCTTTAAACATGAATACTTATAATTGGGTATTTTTTAGTATAGTTAAAGGATATACTTTTTAAATTATTTATTTATTTTATTTAAATTTGACCAGAGAAGGACAGGGGGCATGAGTGGGGAGTGAGAAAGCAAGCCGCCAGGTCCAGGACTCTAACCGCGGGAGTCCAGCTCCTTTAACCACCATGCCACCTGCTGGCCCCTAGTTAAATGATATTCTTTATGGCAGTTCTTAATTTTCATAAGCTGGTAAATAATCAAAAATAAGGGACCAGCAGTTAGCATAATGGCTGTGTCGCTGGACTCCCATGTAGTCTACCGCAGTTTGCATCCTGGACCTGGTGGCTTAAAACTCACGCCGGGTGCGTGTGCGTGTATGCCCGAGAGGAGATCCGAGGAGAAGGGATTGCGGTGTGGCCATCCCCCCTGGGGGGTGGTTTCTCGCTTTCTGTCTGTCTCTGTCTGGCAAGTGCACGCGCCCTATAGCAAAAACCTCTCCAAAAAGAAAAAAAAAATACTAATCAAGAATAACAGAAGAACCTTCTTCCTCTATTAGTTTTCTATTGTTACCCTTACAAATTACCACACATTTAGTGGTTTAAAACAATACTCTTGGGGCTAGCATGTGGCATGGTGGTGAAGATGCCTGACTCCCACATGGTCGACCACGATTTGAGTCCCAGACCTGGTTGCTTGCTTTCTCACTTTCTTTCTCTTCCTCTGGTCAGATTTCAAAATAATGAAAATAAATGTAAAAAAAGATAAACAACAGTACTCTTATAGTCTCGCAATTATGCAGGTTAGAAGCCTGGTGGGCATGACCTGATCCTTTTTTAGAATGTTATAAGCCTAGAATTAAGATGTTAGCAGGTCTGTATTCCTTTCTGGAGGCTCCGAGGATGAATTTGTTTCCACACTTACTCAGATTGTTGGCAGAATTCAGTTTCATGTGATTGTAGGAGTGAAATTTTCATTTCCTTACCTGCTGTTGGCCAGGGTATCATTCTCAGCTTCCAGTAGCAGCCCATGTCCCTTGGTTCATGACCCCCATACTTTTAGTGTTAGCAACAGTGCAAGTCCTTTTTAAGCTTCTAATTTATCTAACTTCTCTTTCTGCCTCATTTTTCCTTTGAAAATTCTCTAATTTTTAAGGTCGCATGTGATTAGGTTGAGTCCACCTATATTGTCAAAGATAACTTCCTTTTTTCAAAGTTCTTTTTTTTATGTAATAATAATATATATACAAGTTCTGAAGATCAGAGCATGTATGTCTGTCAAGTGTCATTCTACCTATCACATTTCCTTTAGAGTATAGTTGTTTGAAATGGGTTTTCAATGTGAGATTTTTATTTTTAATTATACAGGTTTTTTATGTTGAATTTGGTGACCTTTTGTGTACCTTACATGAAACACCTTATATGATAACTACTGGGGACTCATTCTATGTTCCTTCAGGTAAGTATAATTATAGATTTATTTATCGTGGATATGGTACCATAGAATTTCTCATGGGCACTATGAAGTGGTCAAAATGAAGTATTATATGACTAATGCTAAAGCAATTTGGTACGTGTTTTCCTTTTATTTTGTTGTTAGGTAAGTATATTAGTATTTTGATACATGAAAATTAACTAAGAATTGTTGCTCTTTGGAAATAAAAATAATTAGTTAGACTGTGTGAAATGACACACACCTGTAGTCCAGCTACTCAGGAGGCTTAGGTAGGAGGATCTTGAGTTTGAGGCCAGCCTAGATAACATAGTAAGATTCTCACTAGGGGGAAAAAGTTTTCTAAAAATATTTAGTTAGAACAGATATCGTAATCTGGGATAGAAGAAAAATGATTTCCCCTGTGTTATCTCTAAGATATTATGTAGTCAAACAAATTTTAGTGGATTATTTTAAACATACAGAACAGTGTGCTTCATAGACTCTGGAAGAACCCAAGTCATTAGGAATAGGTCTTTTTTAAAATTTATTTCTTAACTTATTCATTGATTCACTCAAACAACATGATGAAGAATCTACTATGGCCAAGCTTTGCTTTAAGGGTTTGGGATAGAGAAGTGAACAAATCAGGCAAAAAAAATTGTTATACTTACAGAGCTTACATTCTAATGGCAGGAGATGATAAAAGCTACGTTTATATAGTCCTTGGTATTTGCCAGTTCTGCTGAGAATACTTTATTACAAATTTTATTAATTCGTATCAATGTCTAATATATACAAAGTTCCAATAGTACTCACAGCTAATAAACATGCTATATGGATGCCTTCCATTTTTTTTTTCTACTTTCGCTGTTATTTATTATCTCACTTAAGAGTAGCATTTGCCTTTGAGCTTCTGTTTTACTTATCATTGTACCTTTATTTGTGTATGTATGGTTTAGGGGAATCTACAGTAGTTGCAAAGACTTAATAAAGATTGGTTTCAGAAAGAGATTTTTCTCTTCTGGTACCCTTGTCTAACTTATTTGTGCATTCATTACCAGAATGATGTAAAATTTACATTCTTTCAATCTTTATCTAGGTCACAGGTAGTGGCTAACTCTTGGATTTTTCAGTTCATGAAATTAAATAGAGATGAGAATTGTTTTTCTGTTATAACTGTCAGATTATAACTAAATACTTAATCAAAAGGAAAGATTCCTTGAAAACATTCTTACTTTCTTATCCCTTTACTTTTAGGTAATTATTACAACATCAGAAATCTGCTGAATGAGGAAAGTGTTCTTCTTTTTACTCAGATAAAAAGATGAAAGATGAATCAAGTTTAAAATGGCGTGTGTGTATGTACATATATACATAACAGTTTGTATAATTCGGACATTTGTGTTTGTTATTACTTTGATGTTTTAAAATAAAAATTTTATTCAGCTTTGTGTAAACTTGTATTAGATAAACATTTCGAGCTCAATATGTATCTTTTAGTTTTTCCGTGGATATGCACATGGTCTGTAGCGATATCCGTAGTCATAATATTATTTTAATAAATGAAAAGAATACCCAAATCTCTGCCCCCACATTGAAATACAGAACATTATTTTGTCAGAAGAGATCTGATGAATATGTGTCTATTCCTTAAAAAAAAAAAGGCCTTTCAAATAATAGTATTAAATAATTGATTTTTAAATAATCCAATAGAAAACTGTGATAAAAACCATACATCTGATGAGTCTCCTAAGTCACCTATAATTAATGCCCCAAACTAAGTGACTTAGAGCAATAGAAATTTCTTGTCTTGGTTCTGGAGACTAGAAGTCTGAAATAGAAATGTAGTCAGGGCTGTGAAGTCTCTGAAACCTGTTGGAAAGAATCCTTCCTTCCTAATTTCTGATGGTTTTCTGACAACCTTTGGCATTTTAAAAAAATGATTATTTTATTTAACTTATTTATTATTATAATTTTTCAGTTTGATCTGTCAGAGAGAATGAGAGAGAGAAAGAGTGAGAAAGCAAGCCACTGGGTTCAGGACTTGAACCGTGGTCAGCCATGTGGGAGTGTCCAGCACTCTAACCGCCATGCCACCTGCTGGTCCCAACCTTTGGCATTTTTTTGCATTATACCTGCAGCACTTCAATCTGCGCATCCGTTTTCAAATGCTGTTTTTGTTTGTCTTGTCTTCATGTGACATCTATTTTTTAACTATTTCTTTTATCATGTTTCCGTTCATATTTTCTACCAGAGGCAGTATTTTTTGCCATTACATACTTTTCTTTATTAACTTTAAAAATTATTTTTAATTGACACAGTAATGGTACATATTTATGTGACCTCTTTTCCCCTTTTCATGTTAAAATAGAATACCTCAATAAATAGAGCTAGAGTTTAATTTTACTATTTTTAGTTTAGGTATAAATTATAATTATCATTAACTCTAAAGAAGGTGATGTTTCATGGTGAAGTATCTTTAGTTCAACTCTTTTTCAAATAGGTCTTTTATTTCATAGGTAAATACATTTAAAATAGTTGGATGGGGCTTAGAAGGAGTCATATGCTTTATTTTTTCATGCTTCTCCTTTTCATTATTTAATTTCTCCTGCCATAAAAATGGAGGATAATTTCTTTACATTCTGACCAATTTGTTAATGATGGTTTTTTTGTTTGTTTGTTTGTTTTTGAGAGATTTTTGCTATAGGGCATGTGCGCTCGCCAGACAGAGATAGAGAGACAGAAAGCGAGAAATCACCCCCCAGGGAGGATGGTCACGCTGCAATCCCTTCTCCTCCATTCTCCTCTCGGGATCTTGGGCACGCACGCACACGCGCCCGGCGTGAGTTTTAAGCCACCGGGTCCAAGATGCGAACTGCGGTCGACTATGTGGGAGTCCAGCAACATAGCCATTACGGTAACTGCTGGTTCCCAATGATGAGTTTTGTAGGGATAAATATTAATACAATATTGGTATGGATTCTGTTCCTGTATTATAAAGTATGTGTGTATATACATGTATAAAACAGTCTTGTTTCAAACATTTAAGCTAGAGATTTTCTTTATTGAATAGTCAAGTCATATTCTTCTTAGTTCTTTATATAGAGCAGTATTTTTACTGTCACATTACAAGTAGTATTTTGGGATCTTTTATTAAAGGGAAACCTTAAACACTAATTGAACACTTGATTTTAGTAATTTTTAATTTTCTAATTTATATAAAATATCATGTTTAATTTGTATGCAGTTTCACAATATCAACCTCAGATTTAACATATTTTAACACTGTCTCTGAAATATCATAAAGATTTCTTAAATTTTTGTGAAATGTTGTAAGTTATTAGGTTTAGATACAAATGCTTAAATATTTTTTCTCACAAAAACTGAATTCTTTATTGGATAGCTGTTGGGTTATTGGAAAAGTCATTCATTTTTGCATAGAAAAACAGAAAAATGCATCATGATTTTTCTATTTTTTATTTTGTTGGAGTTTTTGCTATAGGGCGCATGCGCTCTCTAGAAAGACAGAGAGAGACAGAGAATGAGAAATCACCCCCCGGGGGGGGATGGCCACACTGCAGTCCCTTCTCCTCCATTCTCCTCTTGGGATCTTGGGCACGGAAGCACCCACGCCCAGTGTGAGTTTAAGCCACCAGGTCCAGGACTTGAAACACAGTTGACTACATGGGTGTCCAGTGACTGTGCGCTTGCCAGACATACAGAGAGAGACAAAGAGACAGAAAGCGAGAAATCACCCCCCAGAGGGGATGGCCATGCTGCAATCCCTTCTCCATTCTCCTCTCAGGATCTTGGGCACGCACACACATGCGCCTGGTGTGAGTTTTAAGCCACCGGGTCCGGGACGCGAACTGCGGTCAACTACATGGGAGTCCAGCGACGTAGCCATTATGCTAACTGCTGGTCCCATGACTTTTCTGACAACCCAATATTTTGTAATGTTCAGAACATTCTTATCATTAGGGCAGACTTTGGGTTTAATTTTTTACTAGAAGGTTCATATGCTCACCAGGGAGATAGAGGTAGGAAGAAAAAGAGTGGAAAAGTGAGAAAGAGGATGGTGACACCACAGTCTCTCTTTTTTTTTTTTTGGAGAGGTTTTTGCTATAGGGCTCGTGTGCTCGCCAGACAGACAGAGACAGAGAGACAGAAAGGGAGAAATCACCCCCCGGGGGGATGGCCACGCTGCAATCCCTTCTCTTCCATTCTCCTCTCGGGATTTTGGGCACGCATGCACATGCGCCTGGCGTGAGTTTTAAGCCACCGGGTCCAGGACGCGAACCGCGGTCAACTACGTGGTAGTCCAGAGACATAGCCTTTATGCCAACTGCTGGTCCCTACACCACAGTCTCTTCTCCATTTCTCCTTTGGGGATTTTGAGCATAGTTATACACTTACCTGATGTATTTTTTTAAGCTGTCAGCTGCAGGATTCGTACTGTGTATCAGCCTTGTGGGATCCAACCACCTTAACCATCACAGCCACTGATTGGCTCATGAAAGTTTCACTTTTGTATGAAATATGAGAATATTAAAATGGAAAGTGGAAAAATATTGCTTATTTACATATTTGATTAAAGACATTCTAAGTTCTAGATATGCTTTTGTAGGAAATCTGGACTCACCTTTCTATGTAAACCAAGTATTGTTTGAAGACTATAGGTAGGTAGAAGCAGCAGTAACTATTTTGTTCATTGACTTTAACTCATACTTCCTGCCTCCCAAATTCTAGCTGCATAGGAAAGAAATAAAAGGAAGATAATATTGAATCTTCTAAAGATAGATTATACTTATTTAGAAATGAAAGAGTAAAGAAGTAAATAAACATTATTCATGACTCGTTTTATGCACTGATGGCGATACGGTGTTTTCAAATTGATAAGGAAAAATTAGTCAAATAAAAATAAATACAAGTATCTTTATGTAGGGACCAGCAAGTGGCGTAATGGTTACATTGCTGGACATGCACATAGTCGACCATGGTTCAAGTCCCGGACCCGGCAACTAAAAACTCACTCTGGGCTCCTGTGCATGCCTGCCCAGGATCCTGAGAGGAGAATGGAGAAGGGATTGTGGCAAGGCCATCGCTGGGGGTGGTTTCTCACTTTCTGTCTCTCTGTCTCTGTCTTTCCAGCAAGCACACATGCTCTATAGCAAAAATCTCTCTCAAACAAAAAAACAAAAAACTCACACTGGGCACGTGTGTGTGTGCCCAAAATCCCAAGAAGAGAATGGAGGAGAAGAGAATGTAGCATGGCCATTCCCCCTGGGGGGGGTGGATGACTTCTTATTTTCTGTCTCTTTGTCTCTCTCTGTGTCTCTGGCAAGTGCACAAGTCCTATAGCAAAAATCTCTATAAAGGAAAGGAAAAAATATATATATGTTAAACAGTAAGTTACTTTTTACCTTAGTGTTTGGCATGCAAATGCATATGTGTATGTAAGCAAATGTCATGGTATATTGTGACATGATAGGCAATTTTGAACTTTATCAGAATATATTGATAGTGAAAACTGTATTTTGGGGAATGTTAAGGGAATATAAAAATCCTGTGTTGCCCTTATTAAATGTATATCCTGAATGCCTACTGTGTGCTTAGTACTATGCCAGGTGTTTGTTGTACAGAGACAAAAGACAGGTAGAGTAGACAAACTGACCGTGTTCAATGTCTTCGAGCGAAGTAGTATAGAAAGTAATCTGTCAGACTGAGAAGTTCTTTAATATGTAGGAAACTCTTTCAATTCACAAATTTGAGAATCTGGCTTAAAAATTATCTCCTAGGGTCAGTCAGTGGCTTGATGGTTAAGGCACCTGGATCCCACGTTGCTGACTGAGCTGTGTGAATCCTAGACCCAGTAGTTTGAAAAACACACTAGGCACATGTGCCTGCATGCCCAAGATCCCAAGAGGAAAATGGAGGAGAAGGGATTGAGGCATGACCATTCCCCCGACGCCCGAAGGGTACTTTCTCTCTGTCTCCAGCCAGTGCATGTACCCTATAGCAAAAACTGAGGGGGGAAAAAAAAAGAAGGATAAAAAGATACTTCTTTCCTGGACATGCTGATGTTTTATCCCTGGTCTCAACAATAATTTAATTTTCTTTTTTTCTTAGAACCCATCTTATTTGAAGAAGAGTCTATATAAAATACTACTGGGTCCAGCAGTTGGCAGGGTGGTTAAGGGTGTTCAATTCCCACATGGCTGACCACAATTTGAGTCCCAGACCTGGTAGCTTTCTCTCTCTCTCTCTCGCTCTGTCCCTCACTGGTCAGATTAAAATGAGTAAATAAAGTTAAATGAAATATATTTGTTTATAAAAAGATCATTACAGAATAACTCAGACTTTCTTCTTAGGTTACCAGGTACACTAAAAAAAAATGTAGAAAACTAAAAAATTTAGGGAGAAAGTAGTTAAATGTCAGGAACAAAT